TGTCCTTTAGAACTGGGGAGTTAAGCCTGGTTGAGATTTGGACTGTGTGTCCTTTAGAACTGGGGAGTTAAGCCTGGTTGAGATTTGGACTGTGTGTCCTTTAGAACTGGGGAGTTGAGCCTGGTTGAGATTTGGACTGTGTGTCCTTTAGAACTGAGGATTTAAGCCTGGTTGAGATTTGGACTTTGTGTCCTTTAGAACTGGGGATTTAAGTCTAGTTGAGATTTGGACTATGTGTCCTTAAGAACTGGGAAGTTAAGCCTGAAACTATAATACCTTTAAAAGAAAATGAAAATTAAAACAATCTTTTACACCTTTTTACATTTTTATTTTACATTTGTTGCCGTTTTATTTGAAGCAAGACGATATGGCACTATTTTAATATTTTTTACTTTGGCGGCGCCTATTTTCGCTATTTAAAGTTATTTTACCTCACTTTCTGATTTTTATAAAGTAAATATTTAATAATTCGTGGAACGGCAATCAAACGTGCATTAAAACAAATATTGTAGAATTTAATATTTATTGCAACTTATAATCGATCTGTCAGTAAGTCAGTCAACCTTTCAAACTTTCAGGCTTTCTAGCAGTCTTATAGTATTTGTAGTCTTATAGTCTTGCAGTCTTATAGTCTTACAGTCTTATAGCCTTACAGTCTTTTAGTCTTGTAGTCTTATAGTATTATAGTCTTACAGTCTTATGGTCTTGTAGTCTTATAGTATTATAGTCTTACAGTCCTATAGCCTTGTAATCTTATAGTCTTGTAGTCTTATAGTCTTACAGTCTTACAGTCTTATAGTCTATAGTCTTATAGTCTTATAGTCTTATAGTCTTATAGTCTTATAGCCTTACAGTCTTTTAGTCTTGTAGTCTTATAGTATTATAGTCTTACAGCCTTATAGTCTTACAGTCTTCTAGTCTTACGTCTTATAGTCTTATAGTCTTATAGTCTTATAGTCTTACAGTCTTATAGCCTTACAGTCTTTTAGTCTTGTAGTCTTATAGTATTATAGTCTTACAGCCTTATAGTCTTACAGTCTTCTAGTCTTACGTCTTATAGTCTTATAGTCTTATAGTCTTATAGTCTAAAAGTCTTACAGTCTTACAGTCTTATAGTCTTGCAGTCTTATTGTCTTGTAGTCTTATAGTCTTATAGTCTTATAGTCTTATAGTCTAATAGTCTTACAGTCTTATAGTTTTGTAGTCTTATAGTCTTATAGTCTTGCAGTCTTATTGTCTTGTAGTCTTATAGCCTTACAGTCTTTGCAGTCTTGTACAGTCTTATATTCATACAGTCTTATAGTCTAAAAAACTAATGTAATACTGTAAAAAACCGTTAGCAGGTGTGCCGTAAACAATTTTTTTAACCATTAACGAAATCTTTTTGCCACTAACGCTGTTAATTTTGTAATGGTACCATTAACAGCTAAAGACGTTCAAGATTGTTGAAAATTTTCTGCACTTGAGATCGTTAACTAACGGTAATTCTTTTAAAAAAAGAAAATTCCGTTAACAAAGTGAATGTTCCGTTCTTACCTTTAAAATTAACGGCTAACTCAAATTTTTCTTTTTTAATGGTTGGAACTAACCATTAACGAAACGGCTAGAAAAAGTTTCAACGTGCTTAGCCCTAGATATGGTTAACATGCGGGATATCGAATAAAGTTTAATTTAATCTGCAGATTATCTAAAGATCAAGATCAAGCAGTGATGTCCATATCCACAGTATAAGAGTTCCCAGAAGGCATCTAAAAAATTTAAAACAATATATCAAAATTGTAACAAAAATAAAAAATACAAAATACAATTTTAGATAATGTAGTTTTCTGCAATTTTAATTAAACGTCTCTTATTCTAAATTTGGTAGCTTTTAAATCAATATACCTATAAACAAAGAGAAGTTGTCAATTTACAGCTTCTCATTATTTACTTGAAAAATTGTAATTTGAAAAATGCTTGTTAGGGATCAACGCATTATTAAAAAAAAAATCTGCTTTGTATTGATTTAATAATCAACAACTGTTTGATAAATCTAGCCTTAAAATTGTATTCAAATAAAGCTACGGAGAAAATCTAAATCTTTAAGTTAGACTATTGAGTATAGCTTAGAATTAACAGCTTTTTAGGTTGTATTCTTGTTGCAAGCTAATTTTACTTCTGTCCTTAGATAAAACATCATTTTATGTTGTGGATTAATATTTTGAATCCTAAAATTCAACTGTCTTTTCTGATCTGTTTAACCAAAAAGGTCTCTGTAATATGTGAAATATTGTTTTTAACCTCCTCTACATTAAAATATTGGTTGAAGCCAAAATTGTGTTAGGTTAGATAATCTAGATGCCGATGGTCTCTAATGTACTAGAGGGGTAAAGGATTTTCTCAAATTGTTAGGTTTAAAAAAGAAAAGAAAACTCTGATTTCCCCCTTCCCCCCTTCCCCCCTTTCACCAGCAAAGTTTTCACTTCATCTTCAACCAATAGTCTGTTACGACGTATGAGGATTTTGAGTGTCCATTATCATGAAGACGACATTTGAGGATTTTGATTTTCCATTACTATGAAGACGACATTTATAGTACTTGAACGCATCCAGGAGTATCTAACCTTACATACACATGCACCTTGGTGGGAACTGTGTTGCCTTTGACACAGGCGGGTATTCAGGATATTAGCCAGGGGGGGACAAGATTTCGCTACATTATTGGGTGTTTCTAACCTTATAGAGTCTAAAAATTATTCCTTTGCTCGAAAAACTAACTTTAACCTTTCGATTTTATAAATTTATTACTTAACTCCATCACATCAATAATTACTAATAAACGAAATTTCTTCTGAAATATTTGATAGAATTTACTCCATCTACCTATTCACTAACTCTTTTAAGCTTCAATTTTCTGGGATTTCCTTGCACAAACATTTCAATAATTTTCTCAGTAGTGAGCTCAGACAGCCTTGTAGAGTGTAAGGCCATAAGTGCTGGTTCGTTAAGTCTGAACAAGTAAGACGACATTTATATAATTTAGTTTAAAGTATCTAAAAAATTTGTATTAATAGTGAGTTTAGACAAATCCTTAATCTTCGTCATTGTAAGGTGTTACTTTTTAAACGTAGATTCCTTTCGATTTTGTATTATCCAGGGGGGGCATGGCCCCCCTCCATAATCCAATCATTCTACAAGTGTTTAAATTTTAATCATAAATCAATCTTAAATGTACTTTTAATTTCTATTATCCTAATTACAAGCATCAGACATAGAGTTCTTGCCAGAAACTCGGATAATATTCCCTATATTTTTCTATTATCCTAATTACAAGCATCAGACATAGAGTTCTTGCCAGAAACTCGGATAATCGAATCCCTATATTTTTGCAACTAAATTACGCTGATCTTTGCAGATATTTCAAATAACTATATTAAATCAAATAATATTAGGTTTAAAATATTAAGGTGTTCACCATCAGGTTTCAAAGATAAAGGGATTAGAAAATATTAGTTTTTGTTTTGTGGCAAAAAAATGAAACTGGGGAAAATGGTTTTTTATTTGAAATTGATTGACATCTTAAAATGTGTTCTAAAACATAGAAAAAAATAAAATGACGTTTTCATCTCTTAAGAATAGATAATAATAACCATAAAACTCTGTAATAGTAAGTCGACTTTTAGACTCAAGTTATATCTTCTTATAGTCCAATGAACATGAGACACAGCAATTGTCCAGTGTAAACGTTCCCAATTCCCTTTATAAATCATAAGCGTTTAAATAACTCCCAAAGTCCCTACAAATGCTATTTGCTTTGTAAGTAACAACATCTATAGTATTACTTTAATGTCGTTTTCCTATTCTACAGTTTTCTGGTTATCACTGTAGGATAGGGTTTCCACGAAATGGCTAAATCTTTTCGCGCAAAAAAATTTTTTGCGAACTTTTGCGCTATTTTTGCGATGAGTTTTGCGCTATTTTTTGCGCAATTTGCGCAAAACCAGAAATATTTTATGCGAAAGTTGCGCATGAAACGAAATTTTAGTTTTGCGCAATTTTGTTTGCGCAATTTGAGCAAAACCGCAAGTTTTACGCAAAATGTAACTTTTTAGGCAAATTGTCAAAAATTGATATTCTAAGCTTAGAATTAAACAACTGAAGATTTGTTCCATACATAAAAAAATATTAACATACGAGTATGATCACCATTTTATACTACACTCAATTGGTTACTTCCAGTTACAAAAAGTTTAAATTAAGGGACCAAAATTAATGAAATAGAAATTAGAGAGTGTTAAACTTGGTAATATTTTAATCCTATTAAATAATTTCAAGTACCCCTTAAAAGCTTTGGCCTTATCAAGTATGAATTATATATTCTTAAATTTTTTAATCAAATTTCTGAAATCTTTTTAATCTCATATAAAATAATGCAAGAAAGTAACAAATGCCCAAAACTCTAGTTGCGAAATTGCGCAAAACTTGAGTTTCGTAAAAGCAGAATAGGGCAATTTTGCGCAAAATGACTTTTGCGAATGATTGCGCAAATTGTTGTTTTTTCGTGCAAAACTGATGCGCAAAGATAGAAAAATTTTGCGTTTCGTTCCGCAAAAATTGCGCAAAAGTTTTGCGAATGGAAACCCTACTGTAGGATATATATAGTTAAATATGGAGGTAAAAATTACTTGAACATAACCTTGTAAACTATGAGGATTCTGAAAATGGAGATGAAGACAAAAATGTTTCCTATGAGGAACATGCCCAGGATGGTAGAGTATCTGATAATCTTGCAGAGTAATAATGGTATTGGTCCCACTACACTGCTCCACATGTTTGATAGACACTAAAATAGCAGTTTATTTTTAAACAGATAAAACTGACCCGATTTTCCATAAAAAAAATTCCGAATTTTAATTTTCTTATTTTCTAAACTACAGAGTGAAAACCAGAAAACAGGAAGAAACCTTTTACGCTCAAATCATAACTTTAAATAGTTCAGTGATACTGTGCAGTGTAAACAGACACTATTATCTTGATTTACTTTGTATCAACATCTAATACACAAAAGTCTGGTTATAATGTTGTCTTCCAAAGTTTTCTGGTTCTCACTGTAAGTAATCCAGAATAATCAAATTTTATTAGCTCAAAGGTAGTAAATTTAGGGCCATTTTATTAATATAATATTTTTACTATTGTCCATATAGTAGCCAGTATTTAATTAGTAAATTTAGGGTCATTTTATTAATATAAAATTGTTAACCATTAGCTTTAAGACCTCGGGGAATGTCGTCTTCAACTTAAAATCTCCTCTCGGAGACAAACCAAACCAAATAATTTCAGCCCGCATTTTCTTTGTTATCCGCCCCACGGAGCTTTAAAACATTTTTGTTATTGTGAAATCATTAAAGTTAAGCAAGAATATTTTCATATGAAGCATTAGTGAATTTCGTTAAATATTCAACTGTAATTTTTTTCAGAAGTTTAAAAACGTATTTCAATACTGATCAACAATAAGTTTCCCCTGTACCATACCTAAATAAATCGTAAGATTTTTTCTATTATTAATATTTATTATAACATTGTACAAGTAGCCATGACCTGTAATTTATGTTATTTTTGTTATCGATTTTCTTGAGACAGGGTTACTCTGTTGTGTGTATTTGCGGCCGAACGGAAAGGAATTATCCGGACAGAATATATTTCCCTCACTGGAATTCTGACGGGCCTTTCAATCCAAGTTTATCTGGTGTGTCACTGTTATCTGTCAACAAATATTTTTACTATTGTTCATAAAGTAGCCAGCATTAGCTCAAAGGTAGTAAATTTAGGGTCATTTTATAAATATAATATTTTTACTATTGTCCATAAAGTAGCCAGTATTATCTCAAAGTTAGTATATTTAGGACCATTTTATAAATATAATATTTTTACTATTGTCCATAAAGTGGCCAGTATTAGCTCAACTGTAGTAAATTTAGGGCCATTTTATTAATATAATATTTTTACTATTGTCCATAATATAGCCAGTATATTAGCTCAAAGGTAGTAAATTTAGGCCCATTTTATTAAAATAATATTTTTACTATTGTCCTTAAAGTCAACAGTATTATCTCAAAGGTAGTAAATTTAGGGCCATTTTATTAATATAATATTTTTACTATTGTCGATAATATAGCCAGTATATTAGCTCAACTGTAGTAAATTTAGGCCCATTTTATTAATAAAATATTTTTACTATTGTCCATGAAGTAGCCAGTATTAGCTCAAAGGTAGTAAATTTAGGACCATTTTATTAATATAATATTTTTACTTTTGTCCATAAAGTAGCCAGTATTAGCTCAAAGGTAGTAAATTTAGGACCATTTTATTAATATAATATTTTTACTATTGTCCACAAAGTAGCCAGTATTAGCTCAAACATAGTAAATTTAGGATCATTTTATTAATCTAATATTTTTACTATTGTCCATAAAGTAGCCAGTATTAGCTTAAAGATAGTAAATTTAGGACCATTTTATTAATATAATATTTTACTATTGTCCATAAAGTAGCCAGTATTATCTCAAAGTTAGTAAATTTAGAGTTATTTTATTAATATAATATTTTTACTATTGTCCATGAAGTAGCCAGTATTAGCTCAAAAATAGTAAATTTAGGACCTTTTTATTAATATAATATTTTTACTATTGTCCATAAAGTCAACAGTATTATCTCAAAGGTAGTATATTTAGGGCCATTTTATTTATATAATATTTTTACTATTGTCCATAAAGTAGCCAGTATTATCTTAAAGTTAGTATATTTAGGGTCATTTTATTAATATAATATTTTTACTATTGTCCATAAAGTAGCCAGTATTAGCTCAAAGATAGTAAATTTAGGGCCATTTTATTAATATAATATTTTTACTATTGTCCATAAAGTAGCCAGTATTATCTCAAAGGTAGTAAATTTAGGCCCATTTTATTAATCTAATGTTTTTACTCTTGTCCATAAAGTAGCCAGTATTAGCTCAAAGATAGTAAATTTAGGGCCATTTTATTAATATTGTATTTTTACTGTTGTCCATACTGTAGCCAGTATTAGCTCAAAGGTAGTAAATTTAGGGCCACTTTATAAATATAATAAGTTTACTATTGTCTAAAAAGTAGCCAGTATTAGCTCAAAGGTAGTAAATTTAGGACCATTTTTTTAATATAATATTTTTACTATTGTCGATAAAGTAGCCAGTATTAGCTCAACGGTAGTAAATTTATGGCCATTTTCTTAATATAATATTTTTACAATTTTCCATAAAGTAGCCAGTATTAGCTCAAAGGTAGTAAATTTAGGGCCATTTTATTAATATTATATTTTTACTATTGTCCATAAAGTAGCCAGTATTACCTCAAAGGTAGTAAATTTAGGACCATTTTATCAATATTATATTTTTACTATTATCCATAATATGCCAGTATGATCTCAAAGATAGTAAATTTAGGGCCATTTTATTAATATAATATTTTCACTATTGTCCATATAGTAGCCAGTATTAGCTCAAAGATAGTAAATTTAGGGCCATTTTATTAATCTAATATTTTTACTATTGTCTATAAAGTAGCCAGTATTAGCTCAAAGGTAGTAAATTTAGGGCCATTTTATTAATCTAATATTTTTACTATTTTCCATAAAGTAGCCAGTATTATCTTAAAGGTAGTAAATTTAGGGCCATTTTATTATTCTAATATTTTTACTATTGTCCATAAAGTAGCCATTATTATCTCAAAGGTAGCAAATTTAGGGCCATTTTATTAATATAATATTTTTACTATTGTCCATAAAGTGACCAGTATTAGCTCAAAGTTAGTAAATTTAGGGCCATTTTATTAATAAAATATTTTTACTATTGTCCATAAAGTAGCCAGTATTATCTCAAAGGTAGTAAATTTAGTATTTAGGGCCATTTTATTAAATTAATATTTTTACTATTGTCCATAAAGTAGCCAGTATTAGCTCAAAGGTAGTAAATTTAGGGCCATTTTATTAATATAATATTTTTACTATTTTCCGTAAAGTAGCCAGTATTAGCTCAAAGGTAGTAAATTTTGCGCCATTTTATTAATATAATATTTTTACTATTGTCCATAAAGTAGCCAGTATTATCTCAAAGTTAGTAAATTTAGGACCATTTTATTAATATAATATTTTTACTATTGTCCATAAAACAGCCAGTATTACCTCTGTTATCCGCTTGTTGAGGAAAATGTTGATGTTCATCCTGTGATCTTCAATACTGTTGAAGTAGCAGCGAAGAACCCAGTAGAGGAAGGTACCAATGATCATGAGGATTGTGAGGATGATGAATACTTCTGGATATTCGCCAAATTTACTCTCCACGGTGTAGTTTCTACAGTTCCAGTATTCCTCCATATTCAAGATCTTTTTATATTAACCTAAATTATTGTATATATTTTTAGTCATTGCAATGCTAAACATCAAACCTTTTTATATTAACTTAAATTATTGTATATATCTTTAGTCATAATGCTAAACATCAAACCTTTTTATATTAACCTAAATTGTTATATATATTTTCAGTCATTGCAATGCTAAACATCAAAATTTTTTATATTAACCTAAATTGTTATATAAATCTTCAGTCATTGCAATGCTAAACATCAAACCTTTTTATATTAACCTAAATTGTTTTATATATCTTCAGTCATTGCAATGCTAAACATCAAACATTTTTATATTAACCTAAATTGTTACATATATCTTCAGTCATTGCAATGCTAAACATCAAACCTTTTTATATTAACCTAAATTATTGTACATATCTTCAATCCTTGCAATTCTAAACATTAAACCTTTTTATATTAACCTAAATTATTATATATATCTTCAGTCATTGGAATCAAACATTTTTAAACCAAAGGAATTGATTGTTTACCTATATTCTAATCCCTATATTTATGCAACCTGATTCTGTAAATCTTTTTATATTAACCTAAATTATTGTATATATCTTCAGTCCTTGCAATGCTATACATTAAACCTTTTTATATTAAACTAAATTATTATATATATCTTCAATCATTGCAATCAAACATTTTTAAACCAAAGGAATTGAGTGTTTACCAATATTCTAATCCCTATATATATGCAACCTGATTCTGTAAACCTTTAATCTTTAAATCTAAGATTATTTGATCCAACATAATTCATATTTTGAAATATCTAAGGTTTACAACACCAGGAATTGGAAAATTTGAGTTTGTGGCAAAGATTCAATTCCTTTCTGAAAATTGTTATTTTAGAAACAGGGGTAAGAACAAAAGATTATTTTACGATTTTTTCAAATTGTTTTCAGATGGTTTGTAAACAAAGCTATTTCTTTACAGAATGTTATGGGTGAGCTCCATATTGAACCTGCTTTTAGTCTTGCCTAAATATGACTGTAGTGTTACCTGAAAGAGGCCAGGTTCCGAGCATCTTATCTCTTCAGAGCTATATTTATATGTAAAATCTTAATTAAATTTTAATTAAATTTTTATTAAAAAAAATCTTCTATTATTTCTAGATAATTTAGAACACAAATTCCTGATTTAAAATGTATCCCGACTTAGAACTCGTTCTTGATAATAAGAACGCGTTCCTGATTTTAACGTTCTTTTCAATCAATTTCTGATTGTTCCACGTTTGTTCTTTTACTAATTATTTCAATATTTTTAAGAACTTGTTCTATGCGTTAGTTCTTTTTAGGAACGATGGAATCGTTCTTGATAGTTTCTCGTGAAAGAACCATCATTCCCCAGGAACGACGCCCAGCCCTACTATATGCCGAGGATCTTTGATAGTTCACTAATTTCTTTCTTGTACCTTAATCCTATTTACTATTTTCTATCGCGGATTGAATCAGGGGTTTCCAGTGAACAAAACTTTTCGCTAAAATCAATGAAGCGAAAAATGCGAAAACAAAGCGAAATTTTGTGAAAAAAATTTTGCGAAATATATTTTTGCGAAAATTTTGCAATTTGTAAAAATATTTTTGTGAACATTTTTGCGGAACATGCATCTTGTATTCTCAAAATTTTGTCTTTTTGATGAATATTCTTAAAATTTTTGCATTTTAAAAAAAGATTTCATATTTTTTCACGAAATTTTCTTACTTTTTCGCGAAATTTTCGCATTTCTTATTCTGCGAAAGCTTCGCATTTTCTTTGCAAAATTTCGCGAAAAAAAGCAAAAAAATTTATTTGCTTACATTGCGAAATTTTCAAGGAACGATTTTCCTTTTTCACTGGAAACCCTAGTTTAATCGTTTCAAATATTTAAACAAAATTTTTTTTTAAATGAGACATTAAAGTATCTGTATACCCTCCCCTCACTCTTTAAAATAATACCATAAGAATTCTATTTACAAAAAACGAAATTCCAAAAACATATGCGAAAATTTAACAGGTTTTTTAAATGCATGGATTTTTGCTTACGCATTGTGTATTACAGTTTACAAATTCAATTTTCAAAGATTTAACATTTGATGCGGTGTAACTGTGCAGTATGCGATTATATTAATAAAATAAAGACAACTTTTTATGTAGGTTTTAATTGTTCACAAAATTTTTCTAATTGCAAGTTTACAAGAAATTCAAGAGAAGCTTTTTTAATTGACAGCTTCTCTTTTTTTCCATGTTTTTGTGTATTCATTCTGTTCAAAAGCATGGATGTAAATCAAAATTAAAATCGTAAGTTGTCTACTGTGGAGACCCTGATCTACATACTGCAGTACTGTGTGTACTGCAGCCTGATTCTAGAACAATCCACTACACTACCACCGTTCTTTTCATTTAATAGAATTGCTTGTTCTTCAAACTTAAAGTTAGGTTTTAAAATTCTCCTTCTCAACAAAATAGCAATTTAGACTTTAGATTTTGTATTAATTTATTTGTGAGTCAATGAAAACAGTGGAGGGGGGGGGGGGGNGAAAAGAAAAATAAATGTTGGAATTCGTCTTAAGCTGAAGTTGTTTTCCAAAAAACTAGAAATGAACATAGAGAATAGAATATGTATTAGAGTGGAATTTACTAGAAAAAAGTGTAAAACGGCCATTTTGTTGTACTGTTTCCATACTGCAGGTGTACTTCACATATTTAAGCTATATTACCTTTTTATTATTGTTAAAAGAAAACCAAATTTTGAAATAGACTGGTTTCATAATTGACCAATGATCATTTCACATAGACTCTATGCCTTTCACTTTACAAACGATGATTTTCCGTTATAAACTTATAACTATAAATCATATGATGTTTTTTATTCACCTAATTCATTATAAAGTTTATTTAAATGTTTAAAAAATTCTAAATTGAAATGAATAGTCTAGGAAACATACTGTATTAATGTACTCTACTGCATATAATTTGTGAACATTTACAAAAATTTGTACACTTTGAACTCCCTTTCAGGCTGAAAGGGACTGAAAAAAATTCATACCGAGAGATTCTTTAAATTCCCCTCTAATATATATTCTATTCTCTTTGGAAATGAACAAGGAAAATAATTGAAGGGAATCAAAACATAATATTAAATAGCCCCTAACTTTTTTTATAATAAAGCCAATTAAATTAACTACTAACAAATTACAAAAAGCCTTTGATAAACGAAACAAAAAATAGACATTTATTAAAGCATGAAATTTATTAAAAAAATGATAAAAAATTATTTTTCAGATATTTTAAAATATTCTGTGCACATGAAAAAGGAGTGTTCGCAGCAAAAAAAGGGGGATATAGGTTAAAAACGAGAAACACTTTGGTGACATGGAAACGCCTCAACACAGAAACGCCTCAACACGGAAATGCCCCAAAATAACGGAGTCATAAAACTATTTTAATGTCGTCTTCTATCATTAAAAAAAAATATTTTCAAATTATTTTACTATTAATTTAGGGTAAGTTATCCAAATATCACCCACATAGCATCTTGCAGATAATATCCATAAATCAGCCACACATCATCCAAATATCACCCTCATATCATCCAAATATCATCCATACATCACCCATATATTGTCCAAATATCACCCAATCGATATTTTTTTAAACCCCCCAACTTGATGAAAGTCAAGTTTTAACCTAGATATGGCACGACTATTGCAGAAAAAAACCCCACTTCTCATCATACAGATATTACCCAAATCTCATCCAGAAATCATCCAGAAATCATCCAAAAATCATCCAAAAATCATCCAGAAATCATCAAGTCGACATCGATTTTTACAACCCCTCTAGAAACAAGAAACTAAATAGAATTATTATTTAGATACACAGCATGACAATTTTATTTATCCAAGTTTTACAGTTTACAAACATCATATGATTGATGAACAATTATGTTTGGCCAGCTTGGTAAAAAGTCGAGTTTTAATCCAGATATGGCACGTCTATTGCAGGTGAAAACTACGCTTTTAAACTCGATTAAAACTTCACTTCTGGAAGGAAAAAGTCGAATGTTACTCGATTTTAACTCGAGTTTTTGTTTGCTGGGAAGGGGTGACATTCAAACGGATCAACACTGAAAATGGGATTTCCCATTATTTTTGAGGGGATTTCTAGTAATTTTTTATCTGATTCCGAACCGTTTCCAGGCTTCTTACAAAAACTTTGAAAATCTTTTGGTCTGTTTCCTCATATTTTTGATCTTTTTTGCCTTTTACAAAAACTTTGAAAATACCTATTTTTTATCTGTTTCCTAAACCTCAAACTTTTGTTGTGCATACAATAAACTGAACTTAAATTTTAAATTAATTTTTATTTCAAAATATTTATAAACAGCATGATAACCAGAAAACTCTGGCATAAGACGACGACTTTTAGACTCTGGGTCTGCTTGAACTGACTAAGTTTAATAAGTTACTTATTAAAACTTTTTGCTTTGTAACAACATCTAATACACTGTAATATTGTCTTCATATACCAAAGTTTTCAGGTTCTCACTGTAGCAATATATATAATTTTGATTAAATGAATCTTAAAATTTTAAGCAAAAAAATTTATCACATTAAATTGTTGATTAGTAAATAGTAGCTTAACCACAAGAAACTTAAAAGTTTTTTTAAAATGTGAAAAAATTCCTAGTCATTATATTAGAATCTACAGAGATAATTTCCATTCTTGAGTCTGCTGCAAAAATTTGTTTCGGTCAAAGTTAAAATTATTGATTTTTGAATGGAAAAGCCTTTGCGAAGCAATTCCTTTTCATGCAATTCCGCGCAATTCCGCGAATATTTAATTACTTCCTTGTTCACAATTATAGCACAATTCAGCGCAATGAAATGGCGCAAGCAGAAACAAAATCATTGCGATATTCCGATTGGAAACCCTAATCATGTTTTTGTTTCTCCCAGATTTTTCAAACTTTAGATTTTAAAAATTTGATTTTCTTCTCAATGCCTTACTGCTTTAAGTAGACCAATTCACCATCGATAAATTAATGATTCATTGATTAATAATGAATATATTTGTATATATCTCGAAAAACTTCTATTTCTCTAGTAAAATCATATTACTTTCTATCTTAAAAATGATTAACCTTTTTAGCCTTAAAGGGAGTGTTGGCGAAAAATGAAAGGGGGTACATGCTTACGACAAAAAATAATCGCTTTTAATTGCTATTAATCATACTTTTATCTGTTGCGTCTATAAGGAGAAAATTGTTAAAAACGACTTAAACTGAAGAACGTAGCGTTCATACAAATTCAGAAAGTTGCATTATTAGACTTGTATCGTAAAATACTCCATTTAGTTTCAAAGTTTCAGATATCAAAACAGAAAGTCATCGATTATTTTTCGATGTAATTTGTAGTTAATATTTAATAAAATTTGTTATTTGTTTTACATACAGTCAACTTAAAACGACTTTTTTGGTTAGGTATCTCTGCCACGTGTAATCATTCAAAGCATCAAGAGCTGAGACATCTGGTGGCCAACTATTTCGGCGTTTTAAGTGCACTGCAAATAGATTGTCAACTTGACAATCTATTTGGTGCACTGTATACAAAACAAATATTTTAAATATTAACTTACACTCCCATTAAATTTGGAAATTTATGTTTCACAAAAGCAATAATAAAACTACGTCTTTGGAACAGTAAAAGTTATTAACTTTTTTGATTTCTGATCATTGTTTATTTTTAGAGAAATCGATATTTTTCTTTTCAGCTAAACCAATCAGATGAAAATTCTCGGAAAAGTAAAAGAAGGGAGAAAAAGTTATAATTTTTAAATATGACTAGCTGAAGGGCCCGGCGTTGCCCGTGGAAAAAAAATTTTAAAAAATTTTTTTGGAGAAAAAATATTTTTAAAAAATGTTGAAAAAAAAATAATTTAAAATATTTTCGATTTTTTTGCCTTTAACACCCCCCGGCCAAGTTTAGCGTTCTCCATGTTTTTAAATTAAATTCATCAATTAATAACATGGCACATCTGATTCACAACTGTACCCTTGAAATCTGATCAAGTATGAATTATGATATCCACATCTTTGTTTCATTCTTAAAAACTAAATATTTTCATGGGGGGTTTCCCCCCCCCCCCACCCCTGTATAACTAAATAACTTTAAAAGTGGTTTTCGTTAGAATGCTGCAACTTTTTCACTTTTTCAATATAATAGTTTTAAACAAGTTTTGCTAAAAATATCAGTTTGCAACATTTTGTGCGCAGTTTTTTAATGTTTTTTTTGCAGAAGGTTTGCAAATACATGTTTATTTCCAGTGACATACATTCTACGATTTCAAAACTCAAAAAGCAATTAAGCAAATTGCTTGTGCACATTTTATTTGAACTGTTAGCATAATTTTTGCAACACTTCGCAAAGATATTTACTTAATTCAGTATATTTCATAATTTTTAAATTAAGTCAGCTGTTATAGATGCTTTACAAAATTAATATGTCATGTGTATGAACTATTAAGTGCCAAAAAAATTGTACAAACTTTTTATAGTAGAAAAGCTCCAATAAGTGTTACAGCTATTTATAATGGTATGCTTTGTAGCTTTAGTATGCATTTTTAGTTACTGCTTATCTTTGAAAAATGGAAAAACTGGTCTGCAAAAATTAATTTTTAAAAAAATCTAAAATATAAATATTTAACCATAATCTTGAGATAAAGGAATTGAGTCTTTGCCACAAACTCTGCTTTTTAAAACACTATATCTTTGGATTCCAATGTCGTAGACCTTAGATATCTCAAACTATGAATTCTGTTAGATCAAATAATGTAAGTTTGAAACATCTAAGATTTGCAACATTGGGTTCCAAAGAAATAGGAATTTTAAATTCAGAGTTTGTGGCAAAGACTCAATTCCTTTTACTTGATAAAATGATAAAGTGTTAATTACCATCCCTCTGATGGAGTAACTAGTGTCCCGGGTGTTAATTACCATCCCTCCCATCAAGTAATGAGTCTCCCAAGTGTTAATTACCATCCTTTCCAGGGAGTAATTAGTGTCCTGAGTTATAATAACCATCCTTCCAATCGAGTGATTAGTGCCCTGAGGGTTAATTACCATCCCTCCGATGGAGCAATTAGTGTCCTGTGTGTTTATTACCATCCTTCCGATCGAGTAATTGGTGTCCTGAGTGCTAATTACTATCCCCCAGATCGAGTAATTAGTGTCTTGAGTGTTAATTACCATCCCTCTAATGGAGTAATTATTGTCCTGAGTGTAAATTACCATCCCTCTAATGGAGTAATTAGTGTCCTGAGTGTTAATTACCATCCCTCTAATGGAGTAATTAGTGTCCTGAGTGTTAATTTACCATTCCTCTCCAAATTCTCAATTTGATGCTGTTTAAAGTGGAAATCTTATTTTGTTCCAAATTATCGTTAAAATTGCGTAACCAAATGAGCCAAAATTTGTGCATCATATTTGTGTATATGGATCAAATTAATTGACATATTTGTTAATCCAATCGGTAATTGTTTATTTACTTGATTGTAACAGTAAGAAAATTGCACAAAACGTCTTTTAATAACATTGTATAAAATTTTTTTAATTTTTTAGTTATAACTTTTTTATAATTTTATTTATAATTTTGAAACTTGTTACAATAAACTGTTTTAATTGAATTATTACTTACATATTATTATTATTATTATTATTATGTAAAGAAGCTGCCAATTAATTCCGATACTTGAAATAACTAAATTTTATATTATACTAGTGAATTGTTGTCGACCAATGTAGTTTATGGATTGAATTTACTTTTTTTTCGCAAAATTCAATTTTAAGAACAATTTAGAAAAGGCGTTTTTTGCAGATTGGAAGACATCTTGATTCCCAAATAATTGGGCTTTTATGTACCGCATTTTTCATGAAATTTACGAAAATCCAGAAACTGTAACTTTGTCAATTTTCTAACTACAGAAATTTAATAACCACAAATACCACTTTATAGAGAAAAAGGGCAAGGTTTATGTGGCAGTTTTGAAACTCCCATGAACGGATGATTTAAAGTTCAAAATTGTCAACAGTTTTCCCAGCAAATAAGCGGTAACTAATAACTAATAACTTTAAGACTAATATTGTCAATTTGATTAAAAAATTAAGTAAATTGCTTTAGTTAAAAAAGGGGTAAATATAAGTTTATCACATTAAAATATACATATACTAGAGACATCTACATTTAAGGTGTTAAACTGTTACTCTAAAACCGGCCCATTCAATTCAACCAATAAGATGAAGGGGAAGTGTGTAGGCTGGGGGTGGGAGGCAGATCATATATTTTAGCTATAGATAGATAGATTGATCGATAATCTAGATAGATAGATAGATAGATATATTATACATCCACAAATCTATCTATCTATTTTTTAACAATCTTTCTATCAATTTTGCATTAAACATACATATTTCTAAACATTACCCAAGTAACAATTTTGCAGAAAATCCGCGGAAATTCATAGGAATCTTTCCTGGGAATCCGCGGAAATTCCAAGGAATCTTTCACAGGAAAATCTGGAGAAAATTTCGAGAGCTATTCCGAGGAATTTCTTGTAACCCACTCTGAGGAAATTCTCATAACTCTATCCAAGGAATTTCTTGTAACCAATTCCAGGGAATTTCTTGTTACCAATTCTGCAGAAAAACTGGAGAAAATTTCTTTAAAATTTTTTGAAATTCTTGAGAATTTCCAGCAAAAAGTTCTTCAGGACCAATTCCTGGGAATTTCCTGGGAACTTATCCCAAGATTTTCTCAAGAGTTCCTCAGGAATATCTTAAAATATTCTCAGCATATTCCTGAGTAAATTCACTAACCAGGAATTAAGCCCAATAGTAGTGAATAACTTAAGAACTACATTGCCCCACCAACTTTTTAGAAGTTTAACCATCTACTTAAGTCAGAATGTTATAGTTGTTTTTGATCTTACTCAAGTTGTCATGTATTTTGTTTATTCAGACAACTGAATTGTTAAGAAAAAATAAAAGAAACAAAAAAAATGTTCAAACATTTTTTTTAAATGATGGTTCTAAAGTAAATTATCATTTTTTATCAATAAGGATGCAAAGAAAAAAAGATTTAGTTGGGGCAGTGCATAATAGAAGATAACCTCAGAGACACCTATTGAAGAAAATGGAACTTGAAAATTCTGTGATGAAGTCCTGAGAATTTCTCAGGAATTTCCAACAAATATTTCGGAGAAATTCTTAGAGATTTCTAGAGAAAAATTCCAGAGAAATTCTCAGGAATTTCTTGAAACTTATTTTCTTATTTCATTCCCCTAAAAATCCAGAAAACTTGGTGACCAAGTCCTAAGAATTTCTCAGGAGTTTCCGGAGAAGATTTCAGTAGAATTTCTCAGGAATTTCTTGAGGTGAAATTCTGGAGAATTCTCAGGAATTTCTTGAAACTAATTCTTTCATTAAATTCCCCTTAAATCTGTAACCATGGTGACCAAGTCCTAAGAATTTCTCAGGAATTTCCGGAGAAGTAATCAGGAGAAATTCTCAGGATTGTCTTGGGGTGAGATTCCGGAAAAATTCCCAGGAATTCTCGAAACTAATACTCCTTAAAATTCCCCTAAAAATCCGTAAACATTATAACCAAGTCCTAAGAATTTCTCAGGAAAGAATCATTTATTTTCCAGCTGGGTAATCTCCCAGAATAAATATAAACATATAATATTCATTCATTCCATTGCATTTGTTCTATAAAATATTAATGTTGTCAGACAAATTAATAAAAGTAAGAAAACTGCTATTTTTATTCTATTTTAAAAAAAGTCAAATATGTCCAACCGGTGTTTTTTTCAACCGGTATTTTGTGAAAGTCTGTTTTCTTCTACCTGTCAGAACTTATCGTACGGGCACGTCTGGAACCAAATGTTCAACCAATGAGAGAGCAGTATTCCCCAGGGAGTGTAAAATAAAAGGAGACACAATTGACGCGGCCCGCCCTACCATATGATTATAAAAGCTTTGCAGACGGTACTCCATTTTTATAAGAAAAATTAAGAATAGGTTATTGTATATATACGCGACACATATTGGGTTTTATACAAATGAAGCACCGTCTGCAAAGCATGTATATACTCATCATATGGTAGGGTGGGCCGCGTCAGTTGTATCTCCCTTCTATTCAATACTCCTTGGCATTCCCTTTCCTCGAATATTTGGACCAATGGAAAGCCAAAATTTATCCGGTAATTGACCAATGAAAGAGTGCCATGTCTGTTGAGTTAGTGAAACACATATTCAGCGTTCAGCTGACGTGTACCAGTACGTGTATAGATACTAGTTACATACAACTGTGACTCCTGTGATACAGGCTGAATACCCTTATTAACAAGTGAATCAAGGGATTTTTATGTCGGTTTTCTTCTCTTATTTCATCAGTTTTAAAGTTAGTATACGTAGTCCATACTGATTGTTTATATATTGACGCGTATCTTGAAAATATCCTCATAATTATTATATTTCAGCCCTAAAATGAAAGTATTGGTTTTGTTGAGTGCTCTTGCGGTGTGTTTAGGAGAGGTTACCAAGGTATTATATCGTTTAATCCATAAGATTTATTAGATTTTTTAAAGCGTCATTTCTATATAAATTATTTTAAACACACGGTGTTTGTTAAGGATGAGGGTGTCCTTGTGTTAACAGAGTCCAACTTTCAAGAGGTTGTGGACGGAAATGAATTCGTCCTTGTCGAATTCTATGCTCCATGGTGCGGACATTGCAAGGTAGGTTTCTATTCTAACATTTTAAATCTCGGTTCAATTCTGAAGAAAGGTTTTTTTGTTCATGGATACTTTTGAAATCTATCTAAATCTTTACCTTAGGGTTTTTTCACACCTTGTTCATATGTTTACATAAATACAATTTGCAACACAGCTTGGGAATATTTTCATTCTCAATTTCTGTTAAGAACTGTTCCTAAAGCCTCAGTTAACTTTTTAAATTTTAACTCATTTGCTTTACACTCCTGATGTAATATTTAGGTAAATTCCTAGAGAACGATTTATGGACCCCCCTCCCCCCTCCTATCAATTTTGTACATGGATCTTGCAGAAAGTGTCTTAACTTAACCTTACCCGTGGCCGCAGCGCTCGGCCCCCTAGCCTGTCCTAGCCGCAGCGCTCGGCCCAGAAAGTGTCTTAACCTAACCCTAAGTAAATACTAAAGTGGTCATGTACAAAAATCGTTCTCTAGGACGGACCCTGATATTTATAACATTGTAATTTACAATGATATTTTCTAGTCGTTAGCCCCTGAATACGCTAAAGCCGCCCAAACTCTGGCTGAGAAAGAGTCTTCAATCCTTCTGGGTAAAGTTGATGCTACCGAGGAGGGTAAACTGGCAGAGAAATTCGAGGTCCGAGGATACCCTACACTCAAACTCTTTAGGTAACTTTTTTACAGGAGATTGAGTATTTCGCCGTTTATAAATCATAATTTAGATTTTTAAAACTATTTGGATGATCAAACCTGTTTTAAGGAATGGAAAGGCATCTGAATACAATGGCGGTCGTACCGCCGAAACCATCGTCTCCTGGTTGGAGAAGAAGACCGGTCCCCCCGCCAAGACTCTGGAAACTGTTGATGCCGCCAAGGCCTTCGTCGAGGAGAATGATATAGCGGTCATTGGATTTTTCAAGGTTAGGTGTATATCATTTAAATCGGCTCTTATGACTGATCAGTTTGGTAATACTTGTTTTAAAATTTTAATTTATAATGTTTAGAAGCTGCCGCCGTTTCCCTATTCAAGAAGTTTGACGAGGGCCGTAATAACTTTGAGGGAGAGATGACTGAAGCTGCCCTCACTAAGTTCGTGGCCGGAAACGCCCTCCCCCTTGTCATTGACTTCAACCAAGAGACCGCACAGAAGATCTTCTCCGGAGAGATTAAGTCCCACCTCCTGATGTTCGTGTCCGCCAAGGCTGATGAGTATGCTGCCCAGGTGTGAAGGATTAATATCTTATCCTCATATATTTACATCCCATACAAACACCTGCGTTTCCACTGAAATAACTTAACTGTCCTGTTTATGATTTTCCCGCATTTTATTTCTCAGTCAAATAAAAATTTTATTTCGTCGTTGAAATTATGCTGAACTGCTGTTTACACTTGTTGTAATTATATTGGAAACCTACCACCTGTGAATAATGTTACCATTCAAAAATATATTAAATTATGTTTTTTTAGACTGAAGTTGCCAGGACCATCGCCAAGGAGAACAAGGGAGAGCTTCTGTTCGTCACCATCAACACTGACGAGGACGATCACAAGAGGATCATGGAGTTCTTCGGACTCGAGGTAAAGACCTGCCACGTAACCAGGAATTATTGCTGAGTCATGATTGGATGTAGGATTTATTCACCTGGAGGTGAAACCGGTTTCCTGGATCAGTTAACTACTCACATATGCCATCTACTTTTAACTTATTTCAAATATAATTTTCATTAAGCCATGAAACTTGCATTATTTATTCTGAATACTGATAACTTAGGATCAGTGTTGTAAATTTTCTAAGAGGAAAATTATTGTTCAGGAAAATATTCACCCTGCTGAGGTTTAATTTTTAAGTTTTTAGATTTAGGTATGCTAATAGAATTTTGGTTTTAGTTAAGCCTAGTCTGATTTAAAAAGAATTTCAACTTTTTGTGTTAAACTTCTTCTATCAATTGATTCTTGACCTCCGCATGGTTCAATTTATTAAGATTTTTTTCCTTTTATGTTTTAAAAAAGATTGGTTTTAAATTTGACTTATCTGATATTGTAGGATTCTGAGCTTCCCAGCATGAGAATTATCAAGCTTGAAGAGGACATGTCCAAGTTCAAGCCCGCTAACAAGGACATCACCGAGGAAAATGTCAGAGCCTTCGTCAACTCCTACAAGGCCGGAGAGCTGAAGCCCCACCTCATGTCAGAGGAGATCCCCGAGGACTGGGACAAGGAGCCTGTCAAGGTAGGAGAGATTACTATTAACATTTGGTTGTGCTTTTTTTTAATTTGAGATTTTCTCACATCTCTATTTTTACGTCTTTTTAGAATGTCATACATAGGATCAAATTTCGAGAATGCTTTTTTAACGAGAGGGTTTTAATTTCATCAGTTCGGATTTTAAGGCAGTAAATTCGCCGGAATGTCCGATATTAGATTCCTCTACCCGGAAGTTGAGTCGTATTACAGAAAAGATTAAAATGATTTAACCTTTGTTACTATTTCTGTATTTCTGATCAATATTTTATTAAATTATTAAAAATTGATCGTGTCCAGGTGCTAGTTGGCAAGAACTTCGCCGATGTCGCTCTTGATACCAGTAAGGATGTCCTTGTTGAGTTCTATGCTCCATGGTGTGGACACTGCAAGCAGTTGGAGCCAATCTATACCCAGCTCGGAGAGAAGTTCAAGGTAGAAATATATTTGACATAAAAGGGACTATGGACGGTATCTTGAAGGAATTTTAGACGGAATTTTATTTAAAGCTTTGTTGAGTGATTAAGATTAAATTAGTTATCCATGTTTTTCTCTTTGACAATTGATTAATATTTCCAAATTTTACATTTTTCACTTTCCTTCTTTCGCCTCTTTAAATCGTGGTCACTTGAAATTATTATTTTCTAAAAAGCCAAAAAAAGTTTCAGGGTGTCCCAATAAGCATATTTGTTTGGAATTAACTACATACTAACAATTAAAATAAAGTGAAAGAAACGAGTTTTTGCGTTGTATGAAATTACTTCTTAAAGAAAGTGAAATTAAAATTAAATATTTGGTGAAACATTATGTAAAAGAGTAAATGATTACTATTTTTGTAAAATGCAAATGCTAACATTGGAATTCTTTTTCACCATCTGTGTTGTATTATAGGACAACGAAGAGATTGTTATCGCCAAGATGGATTCTACTGGAAATGAAGTTGAAGATATTAAAGTTCAGGTAAGCGTGAACGATAGTTAGGATTTTTTTTTTTCTCGAGGATTTATTTTTACTGTTTACCGAGAGTGTTGAAAAATCTTGTCTATTTTTTATGATGCAATAATGAATGCTCGTGTCCTACCCCCCC